GCGTTCTGGGTATTGATAGCTGAGTTAACATCAGCGATATAAACAGAATAAGTCACTAGCCAGTCACTAGGCGTTCAGGTAGTCCTGTGAATCCCACAATCCCTCACGATCCCAATTCATCCGTGTAATGAAGTCTTTTTGCGACATCCCCTCTGCCCGGATTGAACCATACTCCCGTCATCTCAGGACAGTATTGATGAGCCGGGTCTCGGTCGCTGTCGGCTCTTCTCCGCGACTCTCCGCGCGTACCTGTGTGTGACAGACGACAGTCACCCGGCAATGGATGGCTAATTACAGGACCGTAATTAGGCAGATGGGATCAATGGACGGTGGCGGATCAGCAGCGGGGGAGATGGGTCGGTCTGACATCGGTGCTCTGACGGCTCGTCGGACTAGATGATGATGATGATTTGGTGTTATGGGGCGCACCAGCAACGAGACTATATCGCGCCCATATCTAGCCATTCTTCCTCAAAGTCGGGGGTTAAAAATCACCTGAAGCCCGGAGGCAGGGATGAACAAAAAAGGTGAGAGGAGTCGAGCAAAGGGGAGTCGCCGCGAAGGAGAGTTCTCAAAGAGAGATGGGGGCCACGCTAGCCCAAATCCACAATAGCACAACCTCCAGTCTCGGTCCACTGACTTGCTGACAGCTGTTGCACCGCGGCTGATTTCCGGGTGTCCCGGTCACTGTGGGAGGGGGAGGAGAATTAGAAACTTCTGAAAAGTGGGAACTGTGGCGCAACACTGGACGACCTACTGGGAATGTGAATTGTGAATGCTCGGTGAAGTCTGGTGAACTTGCGCCCCACGAACTGTTGAAATTGAATTCAGTATGGAATGTGGTCTTATTAAGCGTCGGGTGTTTCAATTAGTTTGAAACTACTCTCCCGCCTGACGTGCCTCCAGCTGGCCTCCCCTCTGTCCTCTTCGGGGTAACCATTTCTCTGACAATGACCGTTGGTTATTCTGCTCATAACCAAGCTGTGTTGGGAAATTCGCTTTATCTGTCATTTCGTGCCATCTAGGAGCGTTAAGCTTCAGCGTCATACAGGCTACAGCTTTCACGATCTACTGATATGATCTTTGTCACTAAAATGTGTCCCATATGCTATACAGATTTGCTAATGACAGAGCATCATAAATGATGAAGCATCATAAGCTGAAATGATGCATGCTAGCATCATTTCAGTTAAGATCGTCGAATCTGTGATATTTAAATTATTACACAAGTTGTTTTCACCCTTAATATTATGTAAGTCTGCCTGAACTTTTCCTTGTCTCTCTGGGAATTTGAAATGACAGTGGAGCAGCGCGGAGGACGTTTTTCGCGGAACAAGAGCCCTACAACCCTTTTGGCCTTACCATTGGCCTAGAACTACATCCTGCTGACATGGCTGGTTCCTATTGACCGTGTCATTTGGCCGTGACCGACGACCGTCTGACCTTGACCTTTTGACCTTGACTATTTGACCGTGATCCGCCTACCTTGATCCTTGGCCCGGGATTCTGGGTTCGTGACCCTTTGACCTTTCCCTCTATTCGTGACTCTTTGACCACAACCCTTTGACCTTGACCCGTTACCTGTGACCTTTGACGTGACACTTTGACCCTGGTGACCTCTCTTGTGTCTGTTGGCAGGTTTGAAGAGGACGACGCACCGCTACTGGTCGGCTGCGAGTGCTACACCTGTACACACCACTGTCGGGCGTATATCCACCACCTGATCAATGTCAAGGAGCTGCTGGCGCCGGTTCTACTCAGTCTGTGAGTGTTACATGTGCACGCGACACTGTCTTCCAGCGTGTGGGTCAGGTCGGACTGTGAGTGAGTGAGAACCTGTGAGCGTTTGAGTCAGGTAAGTGAGTGAGTGAGGGTATGAATCAGTTTGAGTGACTGTGTGTGTGCAAGTTCACATAACAATCTGTTGTATTATGATTACTTATGGCATGGCACCGATATGTGTCATTTTTGTGTAGATTCTTTTACTATTTAGAGCAATGAATCACTATTCTATTGTTGTGTAGACGAGAGGTAGATTGCGCCCTTTTCGGTAAGGGTACATACGTGCATGGTGCATGAATAAGCGAAATACGTAGCGTAACAAAATCTTTGACGTCGGTCGTCATTGTCCCGACAATCGACATCGAACCTTGGCGTACGTGCGTACACTGCCGAGTAATTATTTCACTAATGATGTGCGTTTTTGCGCCATTTCCAGTGTTATCCGTTGTCTCGTGGTCCATGTTTCCATTGCATTGGATTTTTTGTGCCATGGATATCCATCGAGGTCTCGACTACAGATTGCTAATGGTCGGTACCAGGAACGGAAAGAAATACTATTATAATGGATGAAAAACCTCATGGATGAAAGTTCTCCTTCATCCATGCCATCATGCTGGTCTGAGAGTCATTCTTTGAAACCTTCCTTTGACGTTTCGGAAATCCCGGCCGCGTTTCAACCGAACGCTGATCGATAGCATGCCTGGGTCACCGGTCAATGTAATAACCGATCCACATCTGTCCCGGGTCCCTGACCTATAGATAACCCGCCGGCCTCCGACACGGCTCCTGCCGATCCCAGAAAAGCCCGGTGACGCCGCCATCACTCTTCGAGCCGGCGTAGGTGCCCGTCTGGCTGCAGCTCGTTTCACTTAATCTTCCCCTATGGCGGCTGACAGCCATCGCGCGCGTCTCGGGATTGTCGTTTGGTGATCCGGGCCCGGCTCAATTCGGCGCAGTTCCGCCGTCTGTGTGTCGCTCGTGACGGATCGGAATTAGGCGGGTCGTCCAGCGCCAGTCATGTCTGAAACTCAATCGCCCGATCGGCCGCGATGAGACGCTTTTGGCGACCGATTGATGTGAGACTGGTACCATAAATAGGCTTACCTTTGTCTTTGTGCGTGGGAAATTCAATTAAAGCTCAGATGGCTTCATTTCCAATGTCGTTTGCATTCATTACACAGACGACTGGCCTATTTATAACAATAACAGAATAACAACTGTGGAAATGAATTGTGGATAAATGGGGCTAGCAAACAATGCAAACAACTTCAGTGCAATACAACCGAAAGAATTTAGAAGAGCACCGATTCCCTGCGCTACTGCAACCTTCCGTTCTTGTATCCAGTCACTGGCGAGCAGCTATCTCGCCCGAACTTTCTCCCAAAAACCTTTTCATCCCTCACCAACTCAGCGCGCGCGTGTCCGAAGTTGGTCGGCCGTCCGCAGTTCCGAACTTGCGCCGTAGTTTGTGAGTGCGTATGTGTGTATGTGTCCGTTCTCCCGGCTCAGCGTTAGCGGCGAGCCGGTCCGATCCCATCCATTGTGGTGCCAGTGACGGTTATGCGCCGCGGGACGCTGTGGGTCGTTCCGGGCCGGCGCCACGCTATCAGCGAGACGCCGGGCGCCGTAACGAACGAGCCACACAGCCGGAATGGGAAGCGCCGAGACGGCGAGAGAGAGAGAGAGACAGGAATGGCGGATGGGTTACACCCCGCTCACAGCCAATACAAAGGATCGGGATGGGAATCCATAACCGTCCGTCTTGTGGTAGCCTCGTTCGACGGAGGCAGAGACTCTCTCTCTCTCTCTCTCTCTCTCTCTCTCTCTCTCTCTCTCTCTCTCTCTCTCTCTCTCTCTCTCTCTCTCTCTCTCTCTCTCTCTCTCTCTCTCTCTCTCTCTCTCTCTCTCTCTCTCTCTCTCTCTCTCTCTCTCTCTCTCTCTCTCTCTCTCTCTCTCTCTCTCTCTCTCTCTCTCTCTCTCGCCCTCGCCTCGCCCTCGCCCTCGCCCTCGCCCTCGCCCTCGCCCTCGCCCTCGCACTCGCCCTCGCCCTCGCCCTCGCCCTCGCCCTCGCCCTCGCCCTCGCCCTCGCCCTCGCCCTCGCCCTCGCCCTCGCCCTCGCCCTCGCCCTCGCCCTCGCCCTCACTCTCACTCTCACTCTCACTCTCACTCTCACTCTCACTCTCACTCTCTCCTCTCTCGCTCGCTCTCTCTCTCTCTCTCTCTCTCTCTCTCTCTCACTCACTCACTCTCGCTCCCTCTCTCTCTCTCTCTCTCTCTCTCTCTCTCTCTCTCTCTCTCTCTCTCTCTCTCTCTCTCTTCCTCTCACTCCCTCGCTCTCTCTCTCTCTCATTCGCTCTCTCCCTCTGTCCCTCCTTCTCTGCCCTTCTCCCTCTCCCTCTATTTATTTTCCTCTCTGTCCATTATTTCTCTATCTTATTCCTTCATCGAACTATAGCCCACACTCTCGGCCCAAAACGGCTCTGTTGTCTCGATCTGTGTGCGTATTTTTCCTCTCTTCTCATTCGATACCGTCGGTTTTCATACGGCTCATTTTTTCATCTCATTTTTATGCGTCCTTTTCTTACATTGTTAACCCTCGCGGGCCCGGGGGGGGGGCGTTTTTCGCCCCCCCTGGCGAATATTTGCGATAACTCCCGAACGCTTAGGGATAGGAAGGCGAAACTTTCAGTACCTTTTCTCCCATCAATTTGACATCTTCTGAAGTAAAAAATTTGGACCTAGCTCCCTTGATGACGTCACAAGGTACATTTTTCCAGACCCCTGCACGGCAAACTTCGGCGTCACAGACGCAAACTTCAAATAGCTGCTAAAAATAGAGTTTTAGAGATAAAGACAAATTACGAGCACGGCTGTGTAGCGTTTGACCTAGAGAAAAATAGAAAAATAGTTTTGGTGACCTGAGGTCAGAGGTCAGGTCAACGACCCCGAAATGTGGTTTTAGTTTTTCGCAAATAACTTCGACAAAAATGGTCCTAGAGCTACGGCAGTGGTACCATCGCATTCCTTGTCAAGCCGCGTCGAATGATATATATTTTGTTCGGAAAAGGTCAAGTTTCATGTTGACCTCATGTGACCTCGAATGACCTCTGGTTGACCTTGACACATGAAAGGTCGTTTATGATGGATTTGTACCCGCTGATCACGAATCTGGCATCTATTTTCCTCTAAGCCTTCATTTAGAGCTTCCGGATGGCAAAATTGTCTTATTTTTTATTACTAACTTGAATCAGTGAAATAGCCTCTAGCAGGGATACTCTTCTGTGACCTTGACCTTTGAGCAGCCTTGTATCGTAAGATGAACCACAAATAGGGAACTGATAAGCCTCAAAACATTTTAAAACATCTTGGAAGTTAGCACGCAAGATGTGCGAAAAAGTGCCAACTTTGAGGTCAATTTTGAGCGTGACCTTGACCTTGACCTTTGATTTGGAGCACATTTTCAGAATCCTCAGCCTCTCTTCTTTCGTTTGACACCCAATTTTGCCCGTTTGATGCAGCTTGCCGTCCTCTAGAAGGCTTACTTTGAGATCACTACACATGTACCGGTTTTGGCCTTTGACCTTGACCTCTGACCTTGAAAATTGACCTGAGGTCAAAAATTTTAGGTGCATTAGAATCGTCTCGTAAGGACCTTTCGTTTGGTATCGCTTTTGTTTCCGTAGCTCCCTTATTTACGGAGTTAGACAGGGGGGGGGGGGCGAAAAACGCCCCCCCCCCCCCGGGCTGCGGTGGTTGGGATTACCCCCCGGGCCCGGCCGGGTTAAGCGTCTATCACTCCGGAGACTTCGTCAGTGTCACATTCTACATTCCTGCCCCAATTTTCCAATCTAGGTCACAACATAAGTGACCTAAGCCTGGTAAACAACCGTGTTGCATGTGTGCGGTGTAACGGTACTGGGCCCTACGTTTTCGACGCCCTGCCAGTGGCAACGGGGACTGTGTAGCAATGTCCTTGTGTCCTCCGTGCGCTATGTGGGTCACTGCCCCACCGACCTTGTTCGGTGACCTTCCTAGACCCCCCCTCCCCCCTCGGCACCCCACACACGCCGCAGTCGCCGACAAGGGAAGTGGTCCGTACCGTCGGTCCGTCGAGGACGTCATATCGACCGCGACACCAGTGGCTCGACTAGGTGCAGCGTGAACCCGGCCGTGCTGGAGAGGGCCTTTGCGTCTGGTCGGGTTCGCGGACCGGACTCTGGAGGGGCTCCTGCCTGCTTTCGCTGGGATTCCTAATTCCTATTCTCATGAGGATCCTCTGGTTAGTGATAAATGTGCAGGACGTGCCCTTGGGTCTTTTCCTGGTTACAATGTGGTCGTTCATACCTGAGATTGCGTTTACCTTAGGCATAACATTGTTCTTCTTCGTTTCACATTCTTTTGTTCGAGCTTGTATCTTATGTTTTCAAGATAGCTGCTTACCCTGCGAAGACATTATCTTTCTTATCCAGCGAGACCAAAACATGTCCTGTTGTTCTACTCTGCCCTATTTTCAGCAAATCCTCTCGTAAATAGCACTTTCCGAATCCTAATGTTGTCGCGTTCGTAGCTACCCCGCAAGAAGTGCGGGTGTTGTCTGACAAACGTATCTCGTTCAGGCTGTGTTTACTGTCTCCACTGTCCCGTAAACGTCACTGGTGCCTCCTCCTTCATGTTTTTATACGCGGCACTTTGTAAATCAACCAGCTGTGTTCGGGTAAACATGGCATTTTTGCGGTTTGCCGAAGAGATTCCTGTGGACGCAAGTTGCGGAAGGGATGGGTTAGTTCAAAGTGATGGGATCTGAAATGTCGCATTGCTGATCCATTTGAACGGTGATCGGGTTTGGGCTTCGTATTGTTGTTCCAGTTTAACCCGTCTCTGCCGACGGCTGATTGGCTGACGAGCACGGCTGACCAACCCCGGTGATTGGTTGTGGGATTGATGGTTAAGCTGGATGTGTGGAGAATGATGACGTGAATTATTGCGATGCATAGGTGGGAGACTGAGAAAATTTGGCAGTCGGTTATACCATGGCTATTATGTTTCGCGTTTGTGTCTTGCCTGTATGTGGTGATGATTAATTACTATGCAATGCATAGCCGTGACTACCCGGCTCCTTGTTTCTGCCAGTATCTTACAGCCTAATAGATAACAGAACGCATTAGTTTTATAAAGCGTCTATGCTTGTACACGAGACCGCGCAACATTACCTATGCTATAAACTCCCGCTGTTTGCAGCTAACCTCGATGCTAGGAAATGTTTTGATCGTTTGTGGCATGATGGCGTCCTCTTCCGAGCGAGTGAGCACCTCCCACGCCGGAGCTGGGCGCTTCTGGCCTATTGGTACTCTCACCTGTCAGCCCGAGTACGTTTTGGTGGGAAGCTGTCAGACGCCTTCTGTGTGCGCCGAGGAGTGAGACAGGGTGCGCTTTTATCGCCGTGCCTCACCAATATGTTTTTATACCCGCTCATCCAACAGCTCGATGACTGTCGCTTGGGCGCCACGCTGTATGGCCACCACATCCCAGCAGTTGCATATGCTGATGATATTCTGATTATGTCTAGTAGTGCACGCGATCTTCAATCAATGCTTCATATCGTCTCCTCCTTCTCAGTGTTGTGGAGGATAGATTTTGTACATGTGAACCAAAGCTTGACCAAGAGTCACAGCTTTATATTCGGGGCCGAGTTCCTCTCTCGGACGCCTCAGTGGCAGCTATGTGGACAGATCCTGAAGCACCGACAGGAAACCACACACTTGGGTGTTGAGCTGCGCTCCCAGCTACACGGTGCCGATCAGGTGACTGCCCGAATTCAGCGGAGCAGGGGTGCGTTCTTTGGCCTAACGCCGGCCGGCATGTTTAATCAGCACCTCTCCGCTGTTGATAAGGCATTTCTATGGCGGATGATTGTCGCTCCTGTTCTGATTTATGGATGTGAGGTCTGTTTTTTAAGCTCTGGAGATATTGCTCGCCTCGAAGGCTGGCAAGCCTCGGCGGTCAAAAGCGCGCTACGCCTACCGCGCACTGCCCACCACTCCGCACTAATGGCGGCACTTCGCATCCCAAGTGTACAAGCTCTCGTTCGGCGGTCTATTTTTCGCGCTACTCAAAACGCTTTTCGTGGCCAGCACCGCCTCCGTTGTGTGCTGGTGAGTAGCCTGGCCCAGTTGGCGACCAATGCGAGATTCGCGGAAACATCTGCTTCTATTGTGTGCCATCTAATGTCGCTATGTGGGGGAAACTTCATGAGGGTACTGGAGGCTGCCAGCGGTCATATGCACGGAGACTGGGTGCACACGCCCAGGCCCGAGTGTGGCCTTGCGGACTCGCTCAGCTGGCTGATGGACAGCAACAGCGCCGAGTCATGGCAGCTAGTAAGGCTGCTTGTAACAATACATCCGAACTGATTCTCCTAGTCCGCCTGATGTAAAAAGCTGCCCGTGCTTTGCAAACGTGACTTTGTTGTGCCGTGCTGTGTTTGTATCTTCATGTGTCACGGTTATGTTATGAAGATATGTTCTCCTTGTTTTGTCCTCAAAGGATGTCAAATAAATATGATGATGATGATGATTATAACAACGTCAACGTCGCTTTTCATTCGTTTCCGTTTCTGTTTTCTGATTTTCAGTTGCTCCTCAGAATCTTTTGTTTGAGCTGGCCACTGTTCTCACTGTCGCCCGTCCTCTCTGCAGACACAACCTGCATCACTGGAGTTCGTTTTTCTCGGCCATCCGAGCGGCTCTGCAGAACGGCACTCTGGCGGAGCTGGCTGAGTGTTACGAGCGCCTGGAGGCGGCGCCCGGCGGCACTAACTCCTGATGGAAGTCGTCCACTTATTGTCTCTAACATGAACTGACCCATCTCCAAAACAAGTGGACAAATCGGCGGAGACGGGCGTGTTTCTGGAGACGTTGTTGTGACTGTTTCGGAAAACGAAACGCTGAACAAAGTGATACAGGTTTTTTGCTGTTGCGGGGCTGGTGATTTTTAGTCATGTTTTAGGTGTCGCTAATCAACGCTTCGGGGCACAAACTTCACCTCATCTGGGCGTGTCGTGTTACTATTATTACCTTCGCATATGTTGGGCTATCCGAGCTTCATTACGAGTCGCTCTCGGCTCTTTTTGTGGCCTGGTGGTGGCACATTGACCTGCGGTTTCCTGGTAGGGTGTATGCCGACCAGTGACGCTGGGGGCAGCTGTCAGGAGCATGTGTCACGAGTCCGCTCCGGCCGCGCAGATTACCTCAATCTGACCGGCGCGGCCGACCGGCGAGCGGTGCGGAGAAACGGGATTATTCCCGCATAGGTGAACGCTGCCAGTTTTCCTGACGGGAATATGAGATGTGCCGTGCGCTGTGGAGATGTTACTGCGAAATACTTGTGAGGAGGGGAGAAATGATGCGCTGGCTGGAGACAGAGTGGTGGAGGAGGGAAGCATGTGACCGGCAACAAGGAATATCGTACCAGATGAGACACCCAAACATAGTTGGACGACTGGGCGGCGAGTCACAAACCATCAACAACTCGCCCAGTCCCAAGTACTCTCAACTCTCCTAACGCTGACCGAGTTCGCCTTCGCCCTGGTTCGGGGAGCAGGTGGGTCGCTCGTTTGCCGTCGGGCTATCGATTTGCCCGGCTGGGCAGACCGCCGCCGCTGCTGCCTTTCCGCGGACCAGAGCCAGCCACCTGTAGAAGCGCTGGCTCTCCGACGAAGCCTGCGGCCCAGCGCTGAGCACGGCTGCGGGCGCAGCTTACGGAGGAATATGTATCCCTGGGTGCGGTGGGCTGAGATCGCTCTGCTAGCTGACAGGCGCCGGCGGGGCGGAGTTGCATCGGGTAGTTAGCGGAGCTGTGGCCCGGGTACTGAGTTGGTGAGGAGGGGAGGTTTCGCTTGCGACGCTGTTTACCTTGTTGATCTCTGTGTGTGCGGACATCGTACATCATTAGTGACATCGTTATGGAGGACCAACAAATAAATGCACTGCCCGTCTCTCTTGTGTTTGGTGTTTGGTCGATGCTGATTGATTCGGCACCGTCTGCAGTGGTGGATTTGTTTCATGCAGCTTCTTGCTGTCTCGGTTAACGAACCCCCATTTGCAATCCCTCTTCCTCGTGCACTTGTCTGCTACAACACGCTAGTATGCCAAGCACATCGACAGTTCCCAGCAAGAACATCCTAAGTGTCAAATTTTGGAAATTGAGATTTTATACCATTCGACTCAGCTTGTCAAGCTAAGTCGAATGGTATAAAAAATCTCGATTTCGAAAATTTGACACTTAACATGCTCTTGCTGGGATCTGTCGACATGTTTTCGGCTAATGCAAGAATTCCTTGCCTCACTCCAGCGCATGAGCGCAGTGGAGTGTGCGGATCCCCTATATTACCCTGGCGTATCCCTATCGCAGTTTGTGTGTTACTACCTTTGTTTGCTCTATGCGGTTCGCGGAAAGGGTTCAGGGTCCACCCGGAAGCGGTCGGTAGGGAGGCGTGGCTCGCTGGAGGGCAGCTGACGATACTGAGCTGATAGTGGTGCACATGGTTCCCCACCGCGGCAGGTGTGTGTGCAGACGTGTCCACTGGATGCTGAGCGGCAGTAAGCCGTTCGTTTTGGAGGTGTGGTGGAGATAGTAGGTGTTCACAATACGATAATGCAGTGTTACACCAGCAACTAAAGCCCGTATATGATGTAAAATAAGGGACAATTTAGGTGTTCACCATTTCATGAGTTGACGAGATCACACTGACCTACTCAGCAAGAGCTTTTTGTTTTGTTCGTGCTAAACATTGAGCATGATTATTTTATGACGCGTTACACGAATGAGCTTGAATTCGGGGCTACCCCTGATTTCCCTAACCTTTGAGGCACGTGCGCATGAGCGGGGCGGCGTTCGAAAGTTAGATCGAGACACATCTGTACTGATAAGTCAATTACGCTCGCAATAATCGGATTACATCGGGTTGAAGAGCTGCCTTCGTTTTCGCTGCCAATGTGACGAGAAGATGTTAACCGACAGTGTGATACAAGCTGATCAGTTTTCACTCGTATCACGACTTTGGTCCGCTCGAGTCGTGTCTGACCTTGCTATGTAGGGTACACAGTCATCGATTTTAAGCAGTCAACAGTTGACGTTAGCGCTCCTCGATGCACCATGGCGTCAGTGGCAAACACTGGATAAACAAAGCGCTGCATGGCCAATGGACGGTCCATGGCCTGGCTCGATCGACCCCCACGAAAACTGTTCCATGAGCTCGTTTATGGACTTCCGAGCAGTACCACTGAATTGATGTTGCGTTGTGAACGGTGGGCCACTCGATGGGCCTAGAAAAGAGTGACATTGTTTGATCTATAGCGCGTCTCGAACATTATTTTGAAAAGGCAATTATGGAACAAACACGAGAATGAATATTGACTGGAAGCATCCTTGGGCTATTTTATTTAAACACCATATAATACCGTCGCTCACCTTGTCAATTTCTCGTCTGCCGCTCTTCGTGGCCCCTCACTCGAGTGCGGTCATGGTGGTCATGTTCCCATCCCCGCCGCCCTGCAGCCGAGTTCCTTTTCCGATCAATGTTGACATTTACGGCGCGGCCGTTGAGTCGGTGCACCGGTGCGGGCCGTGTGGGCGCCACAATTGCCGCGCGGTTGACGCAATCGATGGCGGTCCGGCCGCCGGCTTTTGTGGCGGCGGTGACGGCGTCTGGGGCCCGCGCCCAACTCGGCCGGTGTGGGTGGCTCGACTGCCGTTTATTTGGTCCTGAATGTTTGAGTTCGGAGGCGGCCAGCACGCTTTAAAGTCAATGTTGATGGATCGGATCATCAATAACCAGAGGTATAAAATGGGCTTGGAGGGAAATACTCATCTGCGAAACTGAAATCACCGCCGATAACTGGAAGGGGCTTATGCTACGCATGCTGTGATTTAGTATAGCACCTACTTTATATGCTTTTCTGCATTCTAATACACCGCCAGTTGCACTCGAAAATGCCGTATCAGCGTCCCAAGGCTGATGACACTTATACCTATATCGTCAAGCGTGGCTTGCAGTCGTGATAGAACTATCGAGGTAGGTACCAATGCAATGAACTTTTGGCAATGTGCAATGGTATTCTCTTCCTTGATCGGTATATGAGCCATGAATGTATGCAAGTACTAGGCACGCGTGATGTCATTTACCTTTCCACTTCGTCCATCTCTCAACGCACGCATTTCGACAGCTGCCACCTATGGCGTGTCTTGCGGCACAGTCTGAAATCAGGCGTTTGGTAGCAAGTGCCATCTGTCGGCTGCGATATAAGCCGACTGCGTGCCGCGAGCGGTGCTAGTGACTCCCGCTAACAGAGGCTCAGGTCAATGATGCTAACTATGCATCACATTGTCCGTGGGATAGCCATTAATGAGGTTTGAACTAGAAATGTTTATTGAAAAGGCAATGTTGAATGTCGAACGCAGATTTAGGTATTGGCTTCGCTTCGGTTTAATATTATGCTTGCAATCTGAATATTTAGGAAATTTGCGATCAAAGCGTTTCTGCAATTAGTTTAGTTGCAGTGTATATCCTTCGTTGCCAAGCAACAGCATCCTTTTTGTGTTGGACGTAGGTATTCGTGAACCTTACTCCCGATATAAGCTTACATGCTTGGTAAGTAAGCTTTTCATTGATCTACTTTCTTAGCACCAACAACCCGTATCCTATCTTTTCACTGCTGCCACCTTTCTCCACTCCTCTCTCCGTCCCTCCTCTCTCTCTCTCTCTCTCTCTCTCTCTCTCTCTCTCTCTCTCTCTCTCTCTCTCTCTCTCTCTCTCTCTCTCTCTCTCTCTCTCTCTCTCTCTCTCTCTCTCTCTCTCTCTCTCTCTCTCTCTCTCTCCGACTCCTGACGTCACCAAACGGACCTGCGGCGGGACGCACGGTGCGTCATCAGCACCTGTCTTCAGAGAAGCCCGGTGACGGTCGGACGCTCCGTGCCGACCTGCGCCATCGACCGGAGATGGATACCCTGTCGGTGGCCTGTCCACCGCACCGGCGGAGCTTGTGGGGCTGCGCGCTGCCAGATAACGGTGGGGAATGTTGGAGGAGTGCAGGGCTGCTCCTGGCGATCGCTGTCAGTTGTTAGACAGGGAGCTGTCTCTGTTGACCGGCCACAGACTGCTGTAGTGACCGCTCTTGGTGACCGCTGTCATACAGGGGGACTGCTCCTGACAGACAACGGGACTGCTCCCGACAGACCGCTGATAGACAGGGGTACTGCTCCTGACAGACATGCGTACTGCTCCTGAAAGACCGCAGTCATACAGGGGATTATCCCTGATGGCCACTGTCAGACAGTGACTGTTCCTGACAGACTGCACTGACAGACAGACTGGGAGACTTTTTTGTCAGATGAAGGAACTGTAACGGGTGGCCATTGGCATGGTGACTTCGAGGCCAATCTTGGTGAAGTGTAGAACGAAACGGCTTGCCTATTTACGGCGCCTGGTAATCCGTTTACCAAATTATACCGGTGATGGCAAATGCGTTTTCGAGCTAAAAAGATTTCTTTGAACGTCAATAAATGACGAAATGAAATGGGTAAAAATATTTTGCTTTTAATAGCCGTTCCGTGTAGTTGAGCTTCAGCCAGCGTTGCAAAAGCATATTTACGGCATTTGTTATTTATAAGATGGGGCTCGGCACTTTTATTTGCTCGTGTCGATAATGGCATATGTATCGCCATATCTATCATGACAGCGAGGCACATATTCGCTGCTTGCGTTTTTCGTTGCCTTGTGCGTATTCGTGGTTCCACGGCACTGGAATCGTTTTGCCTCTTCGGCCGGCTTTCTCACTAATGATAACCCGGCGTAGTATGCAGCAGAAGCGTACTCACTTAAAGCACTGGCTGACTGAGGTTTGTGCGCTCATTACGTGACCATAATCATTGCGTTTCCCAGAATCTTGCTGGGATCGTGGTGACGAGTGAGATGTAGTCAGCCGCAAGCTCCGTTCCTAGCCAAACGTCCAGATCATTTGAGTGTGGTAATGTTTACGGATGGTTTAAAAAAATGTTGGAATTGACAAACTCAGAAAAAAATAGCTAAGTAATATAATTGTAGGTACTCTTTATTGGGAGTACATGTGTCATTTTTGCAAATTCGCAAGTTCAAGTTTTGTCAAGAACTTTGTCACTATTATTCCCATCTGTGCACATGATGTAGCAGCTCAAAATGATCTCAGAGAATTGCTCGATTTAGAACAGCAATAACATTCCGCTGGTATTTCTTGAACGCTTTGTTTGCAATTCGTCCCAGGATCAGTGTGAGAGCAGCGCGAACCTGAGAAAGGCCCGCTGTACGAAAACATCCGGAATCGCGTCGCCTCTCTCTCTCTCTCTCTCTCTCTCTCTCTCTCTCTCTCTCTCTCTCTCTCTCTCTCTCTCTCTCTCTCTCTCTCTCTCTCTCTCTTTCTCTTTCTTCGCCCCCCTCTCTCTCTCTCTCTCTCTCTCTCTCTCCTTCTCACTCTCACTCTCTCCCCCTCTCTCGCCCGCTAATCCCATCCAAGCCGATAACGAGGCACTCTGTATTCGGTGGTAAGAGGGCTTAACCCTCGCCCGTAAACGGCGATCTGCCACCTTCGCCCATGCAGGGGGGGGGGGGTTGGTGCGACCCCCCCCCCCCTTGGCGTTTGAAAACGGAGCGTCGTAGAGCTTAGCGGAAAAGACCAACGGATTGCTCTCGCCGAGATCTCGCGATTGGTGGTATATTTTTTGGTCCTAGGTCAACATTTGACCTACTTTTGACCGGTCAAAGGTCAAATTTTCGGAAAAATAGACTTTTTCAAATTTTCCGCGGCGATTGCGGCACAACGGTGGGAGATATCGACTTGAAACCTTCACTATCGTGTTCCTTGATCAATTCTCTATCGTTTGGTATGTATTTCGTTTCCCTAGCTCTAAAAATGGCGCGTTGGGAGCGCCGGAAGTCGGCAAGGTCACAGTCGGCGGCAGAAA